GAAAAATTTAGTCTTTTAAAAAGACATTGGAGATTACATTTATGTTTAATTGGTTCTTGATTTTTTTCTGAACTGCTCAAGAACAATAATTTCAGCAGTAGTACCGTTATTGATCTGTTTTAAAGAATTTTTGGTTTCTTACTAATTTTTTTTAATGATTAAATGTGCAGAAGAAGACAATTTAAAGGCCTCTCTCTAAAAACAGAATATTCCTAAACCAATTGTGTTAAACAGTCTTTGCTTATGATCAACTAATAAACTACCTTCAGTCCTAATATACTCCCAGAAGACGACATCTAGTTCTTTCTTTGACTAACATAACCCATGCATTTAGGTAAAAAAATAAAATCATATCAATTTGGTAGATTTTCTTTCACTGATGAACAAACAAAAAAAGAAGAGTTTCTGAAATATGCAATTTCTAATCTTTTTGGTGCGATTTTGGAAACAACACAGAAAACCTCTTGGCTGTTAAAAAAACTTTTGGTGCTTTTTTAGATTGTAGCCATAAGTTTTTTTTTTTTTTACATATAAAGAATAAACTGTATAACAGCAGTACCACTGATTGGTAATGGGATGTTTGCATGCATTGCGTTTTCAGTCTCTGTATGTAGCATTATTGCTAGCCTATGTTCAGGTTCAGGCCAGTCACAGTAAATATGTTTAAAATGTATGACTCGCTGTGTCAATGTGCTTTAAAAACAGATTAAAAACATCTGTTTGCATTGCTTGTTACAGGTCTAAGGGCTCGTCTAAAGTGTTGTTGTTATCTTCTGGATGTTCGCTGGCCAGGGGGTTCCTGCTGATGACCAGCTCCAGTCGGTCTCCTGCCTCTGTGATGAGGGGCACCGCTAAGCAGCAATCAAAGTCTCTCGTTCTGACATGGTTCACCTGGACACAATCAGAAAGAAAATGCTTCCTGTATAAATAAGATTTAAACAACCTCGATTTATTCAATTATCCCAGCCTTGTTTCTTGAAAACAAAAAGACAGAAAAAACATCTAAATTAACAGTGATAGGGAATAAAATGCATCACTGCGACTTCATTAAAAGTGGTGACATCACAGTTTTTTGAAAGACTAAACAATTTAGAAGAATGCATACTCTGAACAAAAAAACTCGATAACACCAAACCAAAAACATTGCATATTTGCACCATATATATCTAATACTCTGAGCTTCCATATCAATGCATTTTTTTTGCATCATGTTTTTATTCTCACAATGTTTACATTTGATCACTGCTGCAATTTATGAAATGGAAATGTTTATTTACTGTCTGAAAAGCTGAACTAAAAGAAATTTCAATAAAAGACAATAAAAGCCGACTAAGGCTAAGGCTAAGTTCACACAGCAGCAAAAAGTGAATCAAATCTGATTTTTTTTTTGCCAATATTCGACCTGTATCTGATCTTCAAGACAGTCTGAACAACACAGATCCCATTTTTTCCCAATGTGACCCAGGCCACTTGTCTATGTGCTCCTGAACCTGATCTTATCAAATGCGACCTGTGTGTGAACAGCCAGATCGCATTTATCCGAACTGAATGTCATTAATACTCAACAAAGCTTATGAAAGGCGTCTTGCAACGCAGAAGCGAGAAGAAAAACAACAAGCATTCAATTTTTTTAACCATCTTGAAAATATTGTGTTTTTAAGGTTAGGAAAGATCGCTAGATGTGCTCTGGCACTACCATCCCTGTTCACTTCCACAAACACAGAGCACGCTAGCTTATGACGTCCTCTACTGCGCATGTGGGACAATTGCGTTGTATGAATGCAGTTCACACAGAAGATCACCTAAAAGTCACATATATTTGGA